GCAGGGGGAGGCTGCCATTCTTCTAAACTTCAACCTTTGGTCCACCAGGTGTTGTTGGAAACCATCCCTCCAGAAGCCACCTGCTCTGTCCTTGGGATTTTCTCTCGGCTCACTCCTGCGAGACACGGACACACCACCTGGGCTTTGGTGGGCTGCTCTCAGGCCAGCTCTGAAAAGTGGGGGGGGGAGACTTACTTTTCAACCAAGGTGTGCACGCAGCCTTTCCACGAAGCCATCTGCAAGGCCAGGTCTGCTATGGCTAACGCCAGCTGCAGAGGGGGAGAGAGAGAGAGAGAAGAAGGCAGGAGATCAGAGGGAGATCACGGATGAGCAATTGCCCTTAAGACTTAAGTACTGCTTTACAGTTTCTTTCCCACCAACCATCTGGGTCCTCATTTGACCCACCTCGGAAGGACGGCAGGCTGAGTCAACCTTGAGCCGGTCAGGATCGAACTGCTGGCAGTGGGCAGAGTCAGCCTGCAATGCTGCATTCTAACCACTGCCCCACCATGGCTCGCTCCCCCTTCCTTCCTTCCTTCCTTTCCTTTCCTTTCCTTCCTTCCTTCGACTTATATACCACTTCACAGTGCTTCACACCCCTCTCTAAGCAGTTTACAAAGTCAGCCTATCACCCCTCAACCATCTGAGTCATTTTATCGACCTTGGAAGGACGGCAGGCTCAGTCAACCTTGAGCCGGTCAGGATCGAACTGTTCGCAGTGGGCAGAGTCAGCCTGCAATGCTGCATTCTAACCACTGCCCCACCATGGCCCTTCCTTCCTTCCCTTCCCTTCCCTCCTTTGCACTTAAGACTTATATACCACTTCACAGTGCTTTGCAGGCCGTCAGCCATCTCCCTCCTTCCTTTCTCCCTCCCGTTCCTTCCTTCCATCCCTCCATCCTCTCCTTCCTACCTTTTTTCCTACCTCGTGCAGTACTTAACACTTAAGGCTTATGTACCGCTTCACAGTGCTTTTAACAGCCCTCTCTAAGTGGTTTAGAGTCAGCCTTTTGCACCCCCAAACAACCTGGGTCCTCGTTTGACCGACCTGGGAAGGACGGAAGGCTGAGTCAACCATGAGCCAGTCAGGATCGAATTGCTGGCTGTCGGCAGAGTTAGCCAGCAATGCTGCACTCTAAACTCTGGGCCAGCCCGGTTCCTCATAAAGAGAATCCCGTGCAGAGCAGATCCCCAGAATAAGAATCTTCAATCGGAATAGAGCTGGAAGGGACCTTGGGAGGTCTTCTAGCCCAGCCCCCTGCTTGGGGCTAGAGACCCTATACTATTTCAGACAAATGGAGGCCCAGTCTCTTCTTAAAGAAATGGGCCCTGCAATTTCTGGCAAGTCGTTCCACTGGTTAATTGTCCTCACTGTTAAGAAGTTCCTCCTTAATTCCAGGTTGCTTCTCTCCTTGATTAGTTTCCACCCGTTGCTTCTTGTCCTGCCTTTTGGTGCTCTGGAGAACAATTTGACCCCCCTCTTCTTTGGGGGAACCCCTTAAAAACCGGAAAACTGGTATCATGTCTCCCCCCCCCCCCCAGTCCTTCTTTTCTGCAGACTGGCCAAACCCAAATCCTACAGCCATTCTTCATATGTTTTAATCTCCAGGCCTTTCATCATGTTTATTCTCTGCAATTTTCCCCAAAAGAATGTGTGTATACTACTACCACATGCATGTTCTTGTATAATATACTAGTTCGATACTCCTGTGTTTTGCTATGAAATGATGTGGCAGGGCTTAGTTTGGGGGGAAGAAAATAAGGGGGGAAAAATTCTGCCTCTGCCTACAAGCATCCATCGGTGTTCATCTGGCTAGCATCCTGTCAGTGTGTGAGGGTTGAGGGCTGTTTGGAAACTGAAACGGTATTTGCTGTGTGAGCAAGGAGACAGCAAGGAGCCTGGGCGTGGCTTAGCTCAACTGTTCTGTACTAAAGCTGCTTGGTGCTGTGCAACAGGAAACTGAACCTCCCCTCCTCTGCTTCTGTTTTGCATTTGGAAGAGATTTCTTTTTTTCAGGTGGGGAGTGGGAGTCGAACTCCTTAGCATCAGAGCGTGTTAATAATAATAATATAGGAAATACTCTAAATGCTCTGATGGTCATTTTGAAAAATCCTTTCTTAGTGAGCCCCTAGAAGCCAAGAGGAACATAGGTGCCAAATTTCAAGTTTGTAGGTTTTAAGGTCCTGGAGATTTTATGATGATGCATGTGTGATATTTCGCAGATAGATAGATAGATAGATAGATAGATAGATAGATAGATAGATAGATAGATAGATAGATAGATAGATAGATAGATAGATAGATAGATAGATAGATAGATAAAGAGAGAGAGAGAGGGAGAGAGGGAGAGAGGGAGAGGGAGAGGGAGAGAGAGAGAGAGAGAGAGAGAGAGATATGGATGCATATTCTTGTATAGTATACACCTATTCTTGCTGGACCAGACCAAACAATGCCGGCCTGTCCAGCCCAGATTTGCAGAGTGACCCACGGAGGCCCACCAAGCTAGGCAGACGAAGGCTTGGTGGGGTTCTACAAGCTGCTGCCAGCGCTAAGGAGCTGCCCACCCGTGTCCCTCCCCCTACGGCTGGATGCCCACCTGGGTGACAATGACGGGGGACATGTCCTTTAAATTCTGGATGTGGGAAAGCAGGGAATCGCGAAGTGAGACGTGGGAATCGGTGGGGAGCTCATAGAACGAGGTCTGGATTTTCATCTTCATGGTTTGGGCTGCGAAGTAACAGGACTCCACATCCTGCTGGATCTGGAGCAAGTGGTCGGAGATCTCCCAGGCGTGAACCTTTTGGAGGGAGGGAGAAGACGGAGGGAGGGGGAGAAAGAGAGAGAGAAAAAAATGCCATCAGGACCCAAGAGATGAAACCAT